ACGACGACGACGAGAGAAGTAGAAGTGTGGTAGTCGCCTCTAGGAGGAGTGATATACGTACTACCTTCCTTCCCCATCGGAACAGAAACCACGCTCGTAACGCGTGTATCGAACCTGAATAATAGCTCGTGTACATTCGCTTTCGGAGTAGAGCAGTAGGACGGATGATAGTAATACCTCCTCATCATACATAGATGATCACGGCCATGATTGGTCGGGATACGGATTCCCAGTCCCAACGACATCATGATTGATTGTCAGCATGTTCAGCCACCGGATGCTGATGACGATCCCGATGCGCTGCGTTCTGGTGGCACGGGATGATGACAAGGATCCCAACACGAGCGATTGGGATCCACGGCGTCTGGGGGCACGCGATACTGGTTAGTATCCCGATCCCAGTCCCTATCCCGATTCAAAGCTGCCTCTTGGACGGACGGAATGATGATGACCAGGATCCCGATTCACAGCCGCCTCCTGGGGGAAGGGGTCAGAGATAGAGAAACAACAGAGCGCGCGCGCGCGCGAGAAAGAGAGAGACAGAGAGAGAGAGAGAGAGAGAGAAAGGAGAGGAAGGGGAGGAGGCGGGGATCGTGTTAGGTGGTGCGATCGGGGCATGATGGTGACGAGTATCTGGTGGAGCTATGTGTCAGTAACGTCTTACCCCGAATAGAACGCCTGGTCATTCAAGCTGTATTAGGCCCAACTTTCAGTATAGATACAGCGAAATAATGACCGTCCGGCTTCTATTCGGGCAGCAAATTCAATACGATTAGCAGCGATACGATCGTTGATTTCTGACCGTACGTCTCCACAATCTACGGTCATCCCCCGAAGAATAGAACGACCGTACATTTCCATAATCTACGGTCATCCCCCGACGAATAGAACGACCGTATGTTTCCATAATCTACGCTCATCCCCCGAATAGAACGCACGGCCCAGAAGATTCCTACCGTACGTTAAAGTGGTACCCCTGCCTATCGTCTTCCCCCGAATAGAACACACCGTACGGATTGACGGTTGGCTACCAATCTGACCATCCGTGTTAAGGTTCGAACCATCCTTTCCGTTATCTTTTTTTGGGGTGTGTGTGTGTGTGTGTGGG